ATGTGTTTTTAATAATTGTAGGTATGCCCACAAAGTTTTTGAAACTTTATTACATCATCTCAAATTTTGCATTATTTTAGAGAATTATTAAGTGAAAGACGATCTTGGTGTTGTGATGCATTCGTTAATTTTACAAAGTATCATTCATTTTTTAGCTTCATTTNCGATATTATATGACACGATCCATTTGTTACTTTTAAATGAGGGGAAAATCGACTTACCAAAAAGCCAACATATATGCTAGATTCGAAAGAATCACGAGGTTCAAAATATGTGAAGTAAATTTCACATGTAGCTTTTCTTTTCTCTTCCTAGTAGACTCTTATATTATTTCAAAAGTAATAGTTTTTGTTTTGCTTCAAAATTTTTAATCTTCTCTCTGAAATATATTATCTAGTGTTAAAATTTCTATCCCACATCGGTTATAAAGAAGATATTTAAGTGGTATTTATATAGAGGCATTCCATATGCATTTATCTGGCACAAGGGAAAGACCCGGGAAGGATTGTGTGGTATGTCGTGTCAAGTCGCATTAGTGCTTTAGGCACAATCGCACTAAAATTTTTAAGATGAGTTTTAAATTTAAGTTAATTGTGTTTTTTTTTTGTGTCTCTTGAAGCTTTATAAATACAGAATATTTCTGTGACTTAGAATTTGTTGTTACTTATCAAAATTTTCTTGTTTTAGATTAGTGTTCAGAATTGCAATCTACACAAGACAGGTTGCTTAGAGTCCCTTTGCAAACTTGATAATTCTTGAGTAGGAGGCAATTACCGTCTTAAAGATAGATTCAATTTGCGTTACTTCTTGAATAAGTTAGTCGATTTCAATTTTTAAATTTTTATTTTCATTATATTAATTTTCTATTCGCTCTAACAGACTCTTCTAGTTTTTTTGAATCCATAAAACACAACAAAACATGTGATTTATCTAAACAAATTGAGGCAACTGAAATGTTGCTTGATGAAAGAATGAGTAGAACATAGTCATAGAGCCTTCAAAATCAGAACTAAATGAATGACATCGAAGTGCCCTAATGGAACGAGTAAACCACGGGTTGATTAATTCAACTATTACAACCTGGCCTATCCTATGGAGGTGGTTGGTCGTTCAAGCCCGCTTGAGGACATTAGGGTGGGGGCCAAAAAAGAAAATAACGAATGCATATAAGATCTAGAATACCAAATAACTCTTTATTAATGTACAATAATAGTAGAAGAGATATTTGAACCTCAATTATAGGGATGGTGATGCTGTCATGCATTGTTAATGACACGTATCTTGCCTGATTTTTACGTCGTGGTATTTCAATTTTTTTTTATTCATATTTAACTTATTTATAGTCGCATATAATCGGATTCATATAACATCGTGTATATGTTATGTTTAAAAAGATTTGTTTCACATTTAAGCATATTCGTCTTAATTCATTTATTAAATAGGGTTTGTTAAACTAATTAGTTTACCACTTCAACCTGCTAAAATTAAATACAATCATATTGATTTTGTATTAATTTTTTAGCAGATTGGTAGTTCGTGTGTAAATTGCTAAGCTATTGAGCTCATATCAAAGCAATAGTCTTATTGTTTATGTGCAGGCCATGTGATATAAGTGGTTCAGGTAGTGTTATTTGCGCTTTGTAGTTTGAACTTCTTTTCCAAGCCCCCAACTTTGCTAACCTAAGAAGCAAAGTCTTCTGAAAAAACAAACCAAAAAATAGTATAAATTAGACGTCTTAGTAATATAATTATTCACTGATACTTATTCAACTGCAGTTTTATAATCGATGGTGTGCAAGCGAAGCAATATGAAAATTTTCATAAAATATATTCAAAATAAAAACTAGAAGCCATGTCAACGTTTGGTTTCTTTTTATTCTTTTTCTAGTGAAATGCTAGTAATTTTCCAAGCAATATGAATATATTACAAAAATCATTCAATATTTAGTATTTTGAATTCATGATTATCAATTATATTGTATGTTTGGAAAATCTTATTTGGATCTAATTTTTAGATGATTAAATATTCAATTTAATGGTGACACCACGTTATTACTGTGACGTGATGTTACTACCCAATTAAAAAATTACAAGTATGTAAAGTGAATCCCATTAGTTTCAGAACTATCAGTAACTGTCATATTTAATTATCAATACATAAGATTAATGAGGTTTACTTTATCTACTTGTGATTTTTTAATTAGATGGTGATATTATGTAGCGGTGATGACATGGTGTTAGCATTGCACTGGATGTTTTCTTCTAATTTGTGGATCTCATTTAAGACAATTATTGGATTGAAAGTAAAATTAATTTAATATTCAATGACTACATTGATTGCTATAATATTGGTATATATATTTACATCCGTAATACTATAGAGTAAAAGATGGTTAATGATTGTGTTTTGTGCATAACCTTACCAAATCTCGTGATTGCCTTAGATATGAAAATCTCGAAAAAAAGTTAATACCATGCCTTTGAAATTCACTGCTGGTGGAAAAAGGTATCACTTATGAAGTATGGATACGAATATAAGATACAGGTACAATATAATATGAATATGACAAAGTTTAAAAAATTAGAATATGGGTATAATAAATTATATTTAATATTTTTATTATTTCAACCAATTTAATATTTATATATTTTAGTAGTTTTTTAACATATAATAAAGAAAATTATTAATTCTTTTTAGTTTCAAGAAAATATATATCGTGTTATTGTGGTATATTAACAAAGTGAAGTGACTAATTCAAGGAATTATTTATCTAGTATTTAGAAGTAATTTTTGCTAAAATTATAATGTAATAGTTTTATTTTATACTCTTTTGACATGTAATTATAGATAATATTTAAAAAACACTCATGTGCCTTTAAAGTAATATGAATTTTTTGTTGATGTATTATATAGTATGTGAATTCAAAAAGAGATATTAAAAATTCAATTAAAAAATTATATATGTTGCTCGATTATAAAAGTATTCATGAAATATCATAATATTTAATTATTATTGGATACGTAGAAAGTATATTTGATACATATCGTTGAGTATCTAATGAGTATCATATCCGATACGGTATTCGATATAGGTACGTCACTTCAACAAAATATCCGTGTTTCATAGGGCATCACAATAAGTGGAATTATTGAAAAGATATGGTTTCGGATAACTATACTACGACCTCATGTGTTTTTAATAATTGTAGGTATGCCCACAAAGTTTTTGAAACTTTATTACATCATCTCAAATTTTGCATTATTTTAGAGAATTATTAAGTGAAAGACGATCTTGGTGTTGTGATGCATTCGTTAATTTTACAAAGTATCATTCATTTTTTAGCTTCATTTTCTAGTAGTTATACAAAACCCCCTAATACTATAGAAATGAAAAAGAAAAAAAAAAGACCTCTAAACTGTGTTTTAGAAGAAAAATAACTTTTTAAGTTAAAATTGTTGAAAATGATGTAATCGAAACCTATTGAGCTTAGAAGTACAATTTGGGCAACCAGCCAACACCTATGTTGGGTCCGACAACAAATATTATATACTTGCATAGAGATTTTCAATATATATATTCTTTTCTTTTCTTTTCTTTAGCTAGCGATGCATGGGTCATCGCCCTAGAAATTTGTAGTATGTAAGTTAGGTTTGAGCAAAAAAAAGAAATTTAATATGATTTAAAATTTAAAACAATAATCAAGTTGCATATTGGGATCTCAGGACCAAATCCAAATTACTATATTTGGTTTAACTTGAGTTGAATTCAAATTACACCTAAGTTTTAACTCTAAATTTTAAACCAAAAATCAAATTTCAATTTAAGTCGACTCAACTTGTATTACGACTTGACTTGTATGAAAGAGAATCAAATCTGAATTTAATCCATTTTCAATTTGATCTCAACATAAAATATGCAATCCAAGTTTAATACTTTTTAAGAATTTGACTATAGTACTAAAAAAATGAAATTTCATTAGCATACTAAAATTTATTATATTTATGGGTATTTTTGTCATTGTTGTGGTTAGGAGTGTTCACCCTACTTTATGGGTAGAAAATATGTTCTTCCGTCTTCCTATCCAATATTTTTCGAAAGTGTTTTTTCTTGGCCTATCTTACCCGACTTCTTACTCGATTAATCGGGTAGGAAGTCAAGTAAACATTTTTGTAACAATTAATTTTTGGATCAGTTTAACATTTTAATTAAATAATATGCACTAATTTAACAACACAATAAATTAATTAACACTAAAATTTAAAACAACTACAACAAGAATTATAATAAAATACAAAAAAAGTATGAACATCAATCCACCATAATTATTACATAAATACAATAACAATTAATTTAAGTTTAAACTTTAAACTATATGAAATACATTAAAATCATAATTGTTCCGTTCAGATGACTATTCCGCATTCCTACCTAAAAATTGTTAGAAGACCAAAAACTCTTTGACATTCTTACCTGATTTTTGCGACTAGCTGTTCAGTAGGGTAGGAACTTGCGGCCGATCAAAAATTTGAACACCCCTAGTTGTGGTACCACTTTACTATAACATTGACAAAAATACTTACAAAAGTGATAAAAAGATTTACAAATGTAGTAAATCATCTATAAAAGTTGTAATTTTTTTTGTATCGAATTAAAGTTATAAAAATAGTTACAACTATGGTAAAATCATTCACAACAGTGATAAAAATATCTATAAAAATGATAATTTTTTAAATTATTAAATGACCTATAAAAATACTTTTAAAAATAATAAATTTTAGAGGTATAGTATCAAAAAAAAAAATTTTCCGTATCATAATTAAGTCCTACTTTTAAACATGAGCACCTAAGTTGAATAATCCAATTGGACAGTACTTTGAAAAATTTGAATACTCAACGTGCATGCTTATACCACCAACTTACTATTTGCCAATAGAAGGTTAAAAAGATGTCGTTTTGGAGCTCTTCGCCAACTTTACCAACCCCAGCCAAGAGCCTAACCACTGACCTGAGTTTCCAAGTAAGTTCCCACATAAATCAACGGAAACGAAAGATAACTACGACGTCGGCCCACCATACAATTCGTCAGCTGTCACAATCATTGTACTCGGTCAATGTTAATGTAATAAGCACTCCTATTTTACTACTACTATTGGGGATACCACTCTTCAAACGCGCACGAGAGAGAAGCTTGAGTTTGTAGTTTGCAGCATTTTAAAAGTCATCGCCGGCACGGAAGCTCGTGGAAGTGCCTCGAAAACCTCGAACTCACTTCTTATCTACTTCTTCTCTCACGTTTTCAGGTACCATAATAGTTTTGATTTGATATGATTTTGTGTTTGTACTAGTAAAGCATTTGGATTGTTTCCCTTCTTTTCGAAGTCAAAGAAGTTTCGGTTTTGTAAGCTGTACGCGTTTTTAGAAAGAAACTCGTTTTCTCGTCTACACAAGCACGCGAACTCACTTTCCATCTCTCCATTTTCTTTCCCCTCTCTCTCTCTCTTGGTATTCCACTCGGTTCCTCAAATTCTGGGTTGTTGGGGGGCAAAAAAAAAAATTGGTTTCTTTTGGGTTTGTTTGAGGCGTTCGAGTTCTGCTTTCGCTCGAGTCAACTCGGTTTGTGGTCAGAAGATTGGAGAAGTCTTTTTGGAAGAACATCATCTTGTTCTGGTTTGATCCCAGTTTGCAAGAAGAAAATCTGGGTTTTGATTTTGATTTTGATTTTGCTGCAATGATCGAGCGTTGGAGATTCAGTGAACACCGGTTGGCGGTGTTGATGGTGGTGATATGTTTGGTGTATCAGAATTTGGAATTGTGTAGGTCTCTCAATGATGAAGGTAAGAGCTTTGCTCTTTTCTGATCCTAAGTTTGTTGGTTGCTGAGAGTATATGGTAGAAGTAAACAGAATTTTCCTTGTCTGTGTGATTCAGAGGAGCGAATTGTTTGTGTGCAGGTTTGGCTCTGTTGAGATTTAAAGAGGGCGTTGTGAATGATCCATTTGGGGCGTTGACAAATTGGAATGATGATGTTGGGGTGATCAATCCATGTTCATGGTCTGGTGTTGAGTGCTCTGATGGAAGTGTTGTTGTCTTGTAAGTATTTCTTATATGAATTACCTGGCCTATACTGAGTTTTGAGATAATGTTTTGCATAATTGCCTCTCTTTTTTTAGTTTTTTATTGACTTTTATCTGGAATTTATGAAAGAAAAATCATGCAATAGATTTGCCCATTTGGGTCTGAATTTGATCTCTATGGATCAACGGAGATCTTTTAGGGGACACTGCCGGTGCAGTGGTAAAAGGCCTGTTGCATTGATAATGTGTCGGCCTGAGTAAGGTTGTGGATTTGACTAGATATCAGCCGTTTTGAGCAAATAATGTCACAACTTAGTTTGCTATGTAATTAGTATACCTATTCTACCATCCTCTACTTACCAAATCAAACTGCGTAATAATCTATTGGGAAAGCATCAAGGTTCATGACGAATGAAAAAGGGCCCAATATATGTTACTTTTATGGTCTGTGTGATCTAAAACTATAAAGTGTGTTAAGGTGCTAATGAATTACAATGTAAACATGCTGAGTATCATCTTGATAAAACTTTGTTATGACTGAAAGTCAATGTGATAGAAAGATATATGAGCTGGCCAGATGCCTTGGGTCCTTGACATTGGCACTTTTGAGGAACTTTGATTGCAATGTCTTGTAGGTGTATCTGAATGTGTTCAAAAATGTCATATAAGCTCTACCAGTTTAAATGGTCATCTAAGTTCTTTGACGATGACTAGTAATATGATTCATATCAAAAGGTGGATGAGAGAAAAAGTGGCTTTCTAAAGAAAAACAAATCCACATACTTCAGTCATACTTTGTTGAAGATCTTGCTTTTGGTCTTTTTGATTTCGAAAAAGAATACTGCTGGTATACGCGAGTATCATCTTGAAAGAGGATTTTGATATTCATTTGATCTAACCCAAGAGAAAAATAAAATTTTCAGTATCTAGTGGTGGATTTTTTTATTAGTATTTGCTTCATATTTCATCGATGCAAAGATCCAGTTAAATTCAGTCAAGATCCAAGGCCATGATTTTTTTGTTTAAGATGAATAGTAATGATTTAGCTGTCCCACGGAGTAATGCAGTGAATTGAAGATAAGTTATACTTATGACACAACAATAGCAAAATTTGGTTTCGATACTTGATGGAGTCTAATTGGTCTAAAGTAAGATTTGTACGCATTGCAGGAACCTGAAAGATCACCGCATTGAGGGAACGCTAGCACCTGTTCTTGGAAGTCTGTTTCATATAAAGTCTATGTAAGGCTACACTGGTTTGGTTCTTAGTTGCAATGACCTGTTATTTTGTACCACTAGTAGTCCTCTTAAGGAGAAATTATTTTTTACCCTGCTCATTGTTTTATCGGCTTTGTCTTTACTGTGCACATCTTTGCAGAATTTTACGCAACAACTCCTTTTCTGGTACAATTCCTGGAGAGATTGGAAACTTGAAAGAGTTGGAGATGTTAGATCTTGGATACAATAACTTTAACGGACCACTTCCATTTGACCTTGGAAATAATCTGTCACTGGCAATCCTGTAGGTTAACACTAAGGAACAGCTTGATATCCCATGAGCGCACCTTCTTTATTGTTTCCTTATTAAATTCATTTTCTAACTATCTTGCAGTTTACTTGACAACAATGAGCTTTTTGGTAGCATGTCTCCTGAAATTAATGAGCTCCAATTGCTCTCTGAGGTTCAGGTGGATGAGAACCAGCTGTCTCCTGCTCTATCTTTCAATGAAAGACCACACTCATGGTACGTCTCCACGGTCAAATTGAAATTATCCTATTGATTAATCTAGTATTGCAATTAGATAGATCAGGGCTGCATTTCATATTGTTATGTATATGGGCCGGATACAATTTAATGGGCCTCAGGTGGTCTATCTTTTTTGCGTCATATTGATTCAATTGGTTTATCATCTCAAAACTCGTATGTTTGTGTACCACGCAATTGTGCCTTGGCAGTCTTCCATATTCCTTGGCCTTTAAGCTTATGAAATTGTTGCTCCTGATTGACATTACTATACTGCATTTATCATCTTTTGGCCAGCTTCAGGACAGTTGTTTTTAACTTATTCAGGAGTATCGCTCACACTAGAGATGTAGAACGACGGAGACTGCTACAAGCAGCTGATAATGATCGGCCATCGATTAATGGACGGCTTTTACAACCCTTCAGGCCACTACCTGCCCCATCACCCTCACCATCATTAGGGTCACCATCATCCTCTCCTTCCCCATCTCCTGCACCGTCTACAACACCAAACCTGGCTTCCCCTGCTCCCAAAGTCTCTGTTACTCCACATTCACCTTCCGGCTCAACGTCTTCCCTTCCAGAAGGCCCCAAAAATTCCAGGCCAAAGCATCATCAAGCTCTGATATTGTCTGCAGCCATAGGAGGTCCAGCTCTGCTTTTCATTTTCGTCATTGGCATACTCTTCTGTCGAAGCAGTAAGATGGCAACTGTAAAACCTTGGGCCACTGGATTAAGTGGGCAGCTGCAGAAAGCATTTGTAACTGGTAATTTTTCTTTCTTGACTCAGATTTTTAGAATTTTTATGTACTGATGCCAATTTGAATTTCAATATGTATCTTATGATCTTGAAAATGTCAATTTGCTTTGCCTTAAAATCCTACATAATTGTTGCTCTGCATCTCAGGTGTGCCAAAGCTCAAGAGATCAGAGCTTGAGACAGCTTGTGAAGATTTTAGCAATGTCATTGGTTCTTCATCACTTGGCACTGTATATAAAGGGACATTGTCCAATGGTGTTGAAATAGCTGTGACAACTCTTGCGGTGGCATTTGCGAAGGATTGGTCAAACAAACTGGAAGCTCAGTTCAGGAAGAAGGTAATTAATGAAAAAATAGTTCTACAAATTGCTATGTCGATTTCTTTCAGTCCATTCGTTCCTGAATATATTCCATTATGGTTTCAGATTGACACATTATCAAAAGTGAACCACAAGAACTTCATGAACCTTCTTGGGTATTGTGAGGAAGAGGAACCTTTTACTAGAATGATGGTTTTTGAGTATGCTCCTAATGGAACACTCTTTGAGCATCTACACAGTGAGTAACTAACTTTGTCTTTGTCTGTTTGTTAGATTCCTTTTTCATATTTGTAACTTTTTCTATGATTAATTGACTACGTAGACAGAGGAGATGAAAAAAATAGCGTAGGGTTTTTGGGACAGTATTCGTATAAAGAGAGCTTGTATCTCTCATTGAATAACTAGGATTACCCAAGGTTTATATGTTTTAGGGGATCACTACACTCATTGCCAATTGATTTTGCATTAGATGCTCTAACATGGTATCAAAGCTACACCCGGAGAGATCAGTGGGTCAAGTTTCTTACCCATTTGAATTTTTCGGTATGTATGTTTGTCTGTTAGTTTGTTATTCCCAAGTGATCTCAAGTCCCACGTGAGGGATTGTGTAAAAGGAGTTGTATCCCGCATTGAATAATTAGGATCACGTAAGATTGGTTTATATGCTTGAGGTGTCTCTCCACTCATTGTCAAATTAATTTTGGGTTGGATGTTCTTACAATACGTGCCTCACATTCTTGTCCAGTGCATAAGCAAGGATTTACGACTCATTAAAACAACACTAAGGAGACCTTGATCGAAATTATTAGATAACCAATTTTTTTAAGCCTTAAAAATAGTATGAGAGTTGAGGGTTGTACATTGATTTCATTACATTTTAAAAGTCTCTACAATACTTAAGTTGAGGTTGGACATGCTCACATCCCACCCGACTTGGTCTTCATTCGCTGTCTTGATTGTTACAGAATGCAAAGAAAGTTGCATAGTTAGCTTGGCGGAGAAAGATACATTTGACTTTGTCTCATTTTACATTTGAATAATTCTTCTGATTTTATCTAATTGCCACAGAATTGCTGTGGTTTAGGACATAAAGATCTCAATATTTGAGGTGCAGATGAGATCATCATGTGTGAGAGAGACTTAAAAACATCTCTGTGAATCTGTACTTGGGAAATAGGAACTTTATAATGCTTAGAATATGGAGATATTCCATTTGAGGATAACGTATTTATCCCTTTTGATAACCCTTTTGTTAGCTTTATAAGAATAACAACGCAACTCTCATTAACTTTTTGTGTATCCTGCAGTAAAAGAATCGGAGCACTTGGACTGGGGAATGCGGATGAGGATCATAATGGGCATTGCATACTGCCTTGATCATATGCACCAACTGGCACCTCCTATAGCCCACAAGAATCTGAACTCATTGACTGTGTATCTCACGGAAGACTATGCTGCCAAGGTATCGGATTTTGGTTTTTGGAATGAGGTAGCTCCAGCTGAGATGGAATCAAATCCGCAAAATAATGTCTACAGCTTGGGTGTCATATTATTTGAGATGGTAACTGGTAGGCTCCCTTATTCAGTTGACAGTAGCTCAATCGAGGACTGGGCATCTGACTATGTAAGAGGGGAACAACCCCTTACAGAAATGGTGGATGCTACTTTAAATTCCTGGGACACAGAGCAGCTTGCAAATATTGGTGAAGTAATAAAATTCTGCGTCCACCCTGACCCGAGACACAGACCGGTAATGAGAGAGGTCACTGGAAGATTGAGAGAGATAACAGGAATAGGACCTGATGGAGCAATCCCAAAAATTTCTCCTCTTTGGTGGGCAGAGCTGGAAATTCTGTCTGCAGAAGCAAGCTAACGAATGAAATTGAACTTGTGAGTTACTATGAGCCTGTTTTTTTTCCTTACCCTCGTGTGGTGAGGCTTAAAACGATTGCCCTTAGATGTTTATAGCTTGGACATATTACATGGACATGAGAGCTGTGCATAACTGAGTGGGAAAAAAGTGGTGACTCATTTTTCTATTGGTTTTTGTGATTAGAAAATGTCAATCAATACAGAAACCAGGAAAAAAAAAAAAACAAAACTCGAGCAAATATATCTGTGAAAATATCTATAACTCTCAAATTGAAGTCGTATAAGAGACATTCTAGTTGATTCAATGCATTCAATTGATAGACAATTGTGTGATTCCCGAGTTTATATTATAGTTTCAAGTTCAAATGACATGTATTTGGGGTGATTCTTATTTATTAAAAAAAAAAAAAAATTGTTGTTCTTCAATTATAACATCATGATTAATACTATTTTCCATGTAAGCTCATTAACCATTGAAGGGAATTTGAATTTTAAAAACGTTGAGGCTCGAGCCAATCACCATTAACTCAAGTGTTCCTTTTCAAATGATAGCCATAACCATGATTTTCACTCCATGGACAAAGGGGTTTCATCTAACATGAGAAGCAGATCCAATTATTCAAAAGCCCATATCAACCAATCAACAGAAAACAACTACTAACAAGGATGCCGATTATCTATATGATCAGTAACGTAACCATTCAAAATTTTAAAATTACACAACCAACTAACATGAAGGATATATCTATCAAATTTGAATGATTCAATTTAACACAATAAACAAAGCTTGCCCTTAGGCTCTGGGTCGGTCGACAAGGTCTTTCTCAGTTGTTCTGTTTCCGTCACGATAAAGACGCATGGAAGATAAGTCGAGCGCGCAGAGTAAGATCATCAAATTGACTCGGTAGATTCATCATATTCCTTGGGTCATACGANATAAACAAAGCTTGCCCTTAGGCTCTGGGTCGGTCGACAAGGTCTTTCTCAGTTGTTCTGTTTCCGTCACGATAAAGACGCATGGAAGATAAGTCGAGCGCGTAGAGTAAGATCATCAAATTGACTCGGTAGATTCATCATATTCCTCGGGTCATACAAGAGACTCAAAACTCAAATGTGTTAAGCAAAAAATAAAACAATCAATCATCAAACTTAAGAAGTGTTAACATACAAAAAGCAAGTGAAGTGACCAAATTGGGCACGAACGGTATAACAAGTAATAGGTCCTACTCTCTTCTCCACTTTGAGTAAGATCTATCGTCTTTATACATTTAACTATTACTGNTAAGAAGTGTTAACATACAAAAAGCAAGTGAAGTGACCAAATTGGGCACGAACGGTATAACAAGTAATAGATCCTACTCTTTTCTCCACTTTGAGTAAGATCTATCGTCTCTATACATTTAACTATTACCGTACAAACAAAATATCTTTTTATCAAATTTTATCTCTTGATTTAATATTGTTTTGCATTTTTATTACTCCGATGTAGATCAATAATTTATTTGTGAGAAGAGATGTTATTAGTTCTAAAGTTTATAAGTTGGAGACTGCTATGCTGCCAAAGTTTTAACCCAAATTTTGTATTCCAAATGCATCTGCACGACACACTAAATGAAAAAAGTTAATTGTTTGGGCCCCACAATAGAATATGTACTGTGCAGATGCATTTGTAATACAAAATTTAGGCTAAGATTTAGGTAGGTAACACATACATATTGACTCAAACATGATACAACTAAAATAACAGAGACCTGCNTACTGTGCAGATGCATTTGTAATACAAAATTTAGGCTAAGATTTAGGTAGGTAACATATACATATTGACTCAAACATGATACAACTAAAATAACAGAGACCTACATATACATGGGATCCCAGAATTAGAAATAAGAATACAATAAACAACATCAAGCATTACAACTACAAGTGGCCTTCACGTTAACAATCATCAAGACTACAAAAAGTCAGAATTCAGCTTAATGGCTCCCACGACAGTTTGACACACACCAAATACTATCATTTCAGAAAACTATATATACCACTCCAGTCCAGTGCTCTCACATCCCACATAACAAAAACTTTCTCAAGTCTCTAAAGATTTAATCACCTGTCCAAGAAAAATGGCAATGAGTAAACTCACCATTGTCATCTCCTTGCTCCTGCTCTCAATGGCCTTCCCCTCCATAACCGCCTCCGAAGAACTCCCAACCAAAACTGTGGAGAAGCGTGTAGTTGTAGTGGTGGAAGGCATGGTCTACTGCCAAAAATGTGAGCACTTTGGAACATGGTCTCTGGCAGGAGCTGAGCCAGTCCCGGCTTCTAAAATAAGTGTTATCTGCAAAGACCACAAAAATCGAGTCAGCTACTATAAGGCATTCGAAACAGATGCACATGGGTACTTCTATGCCCAGCTTGAAGGCTTCAAGATGAGCCATTACTTATTGGATCATCCGCTCCACTCGTGCCATGTGAATCTTGTTTCATCCCCTCTTAAAACCTGCAACCTTTTGTCCAATGTTAATTATGGACTCAATGGCTCCCCTCTCCGTTATGAAAATAAGAGCTTACAAGGAAATAATTATGAGGTTGTGGTTTTTGCAGCAGGACCCTTAGCTTTCCGTCCATCACATTGCGCTCCAAGCACTCTACCATAAATTGACTTCACTTGTTGATTCATTGTGATCTTTTTTTTTTTTTTTTTCAAGTTTCTGCCCTTTTCTTCTTGATTTAATGTTATATTTAACAGTTCTCAAATGTCTAATTTGTGATTTTGTTCTATTTCTTGAATAAATTAAATCATCTATGTACTCTACATATAGTTCACCTTTCATTATTTATTGAGTTTGTTCTTGTTTTATTTCTATGCCCTACTTTTGTTTTGTGATGTTATACCCTATACATTTGGATAAGAATCTCAAATCAGTGATGTTTCATTAATGGTTGTACTTTGTTGCAATATGTAGATCGGATCAATAACAGAAACAATGAAAGACCAAGTCCTAAATAATCAAATGCAAATAGCATTAACCATGCAGTCAGAAGTCCAATGGCATTCTAAACAACTTGTTTTTTTCATCCATCGCCTCTTCCGTACACACCATCTGCTCAAACAAATCACTTTCATTTTTGGCAGATGAACTTGGCTGGAATTTCCTTGCTGATAATCCAAGTCATAGTCAGAAAGTATCAAGAACACTACCATATTTCTTCCTATTTGATGCTTTGTCCTGCTTCTTCTGTCTGGTTTTCCTTGTAAATTTTATTTGGCTTCCCAAACATGCTATTTATATCCTCCATAGCCTCCTTCAAGTTAATTGTGGGGCATACGAGGCCATGGTGGTGAACATTTTCCACTTCTGTCTGGATCATCTGAAATAGTGGACCCTACAAAACGACAAACAATTGTATCCTCTCTAAGTTTTCCTTGGGATGACCTCTCAACATCTAGATATTTGGAACATTCTGATGGAAGATCATTTGGACTTGGAAACACGAAAGCATCCACATGCCCACCAGAAATTGAAGCACCTTCTGTCAAATTTTGAACCTTATTTTGCTCTGTCATAGGGATTCTTCCTTCAATGTGATTGCTTTTTTCATCATCAATATATGTTTAAAGTGGTTCTTGAAGAAGCTGACAATTTGCAGATCTGTTGCCTTTTGGCTGTGCAAAACTGCTATCCAATATTTGGTTTGATGATCCGACCCCATCTCCTAAGTTATCATCACTGAACACCTCAAATCCATTGTTCAAGCTCTGATCTGGTTTGGACTGGCTTTACATAATCTCCTGCCAAAAACTGCTGGCTCCAAAGGCTCTTGAAACATGCAATTTATGGCATTCATGGTCTATTTCATGTTGATTGTAGGCTCCACCAGACCATGATGGCATGCATCTTCTGCATCTGAATTTCCAACAATGGCAGTATCAACAACCTATAAATAAAACTTGGGAGATAAATGAAACTTTCACCTTGGGGCATGATTCATTACATACAAAGGTGGGAGATAAATGAAACTTTCAAAATAAGTTAAGGTGTTTGGTTCATCACATCCTCTACAAAATGAGAGCAGGAATGTTTTCTTGCCCCGACTCACAACATATTTATATACTAAAAACATGCTACTAGCTGAAAAGAACTGACTTCAAGAAGGTGCAGACACAAAACTAATAGAAATATCAGCAATCATGTGCTGATTTACCTGGTATAGTTAACTGCCATGGGGTAAGGTTGCTGTTATTAAACCTCTTGTGGCACTAGGATATGAATTTATCATTGAACTGAATCATTTCAAAACAAATAACATGTTTCTTCAAATGCAATCAAAAGTAAGATATAACAATTCCATTTTCCCATCAAATCCAAAGGCCCCTGCTAAATTCTGTAACTATGTAGATTGTTTACTTCTGTGCCCCCAAATGGTACCTCTTCTCAGCCTCGTCAAACTTCTTCATCTTCTCGTAGTAAAGAGCATAGGTCAGGTAAAACATTGATTCCTTCACCCCAATTCGATTTGCCTCCATGGTTCTTAGAACTAATTTCAGATCATACACAAATTCCATCCACTCAAACAAAATATATCAATCTGCAACATAATTCCAGTAAATGTCCCTTAACTGCAAAGAAAATCAAGATACATTAAAGGAACAATAATGTTAAATAAGCTGTAAATCTTTATTATGGTAGTATTCAGACAAAGTCCAAAAAAAGACCTTCAACATACCAAAGCCAGTTAGTTATTTGATGCTAGCTGAGTTAATTTATTCCATTTGTTCAAAATTAATAAAAATAACATGCACTGCTAAGTTGGGATTTTTGAAAAACATAGACCTCGTTTAGTTTGCATCTTAGAAAAAGTTTCTGGAGTTGTTTTTTATTTTTATTTTTTTTAAAATTGAGAACAAAAATTGAATAGATCTAGAGAACAATTTAGAACTATTTTGTGTATTTTTTGAAATAACCTTTTAAAAATTTAGAAAACACGCCACCACATTCTCACCACTACTTCCACCATCACGACGTACACCACCACCACCACCACCACACTCTCATCACCACCACGTCCACCACAATTTGGTTTTTATTATTTTTTGGATAACTATTCAAATAAATTTTAATATTTTCTATTCTATATAACTGTTTTTGGAATTATAAAATCAAACCCATTGTGTGACATAAAAAACACAAAATATTTAAAGATTACTTTTGAGATGAGATGAGTTTTAGAAAACTATAGGGCCTGTTTGGTTTGCNTTTCTTATTCGAAAAAGAGCTCTAGAAGTTCAGCACCACACGACCAGGTTCTCTCATCTCTTAATTAAGATATTTAGAAATCGAGAATCGTGAGACTCGCCCAACCTAGTAAAGGGGCTTGAATCGGTATTTTGTTTAGGGATAAACCCTACTAAGGAAAGGATGAGATATAGCGTTAACTCCACTTGTTGGTATTCGTTGGGACGCATGCTTGGCTAAGAGTTCTAACTGCTCTAGTTGAGACTGCTGCTAGCTTTCCAGCTACTGGATCACTAAAAGCTAATAATAGGGATCAAAACCTCACTGTCCTTATGAGTGGTAGTTATACGATTTGAATGTGTTAAGCATAAAACTAGCCTTAGTTCTTAGCCTGGATCCAACTCCTCTATGCTAGTTCCTTCTCCCTCTCTTTTTCGATATGGCAAGAAGACCTAACGGAACAAAGCCTTTATAGGAGACCAGGATAGATAGTAGGTAGTTAGCCCTCTTGCTCTTAGATTACTCCTTCGTGTAGTAAGGATTCAAATCAAATGAATTACAACTAAGAGCTACAAGCAGATAAGCATAGGATAAGTAGTAACTACCTATAGAAGACTGCTTTCACTGGCCTTAGAAAACTACCAGCACAGGAAGGAAGGGAAGGGCTGTTCTGACGAGTCCTCGGCAAGAACTTATGGAGATGGAGCCCTAGAAAGTCAAGTTAAGAATTCCTAAAGAAAGACCCCTTGTGCCATCCAGCTCTCCCAACTACAAAGAGAAGACAGCCTAGCGTGCTCTAAACCTACAGTCAACTAGCTACTTGCCTCAGTTGTCTCCTGAAAGAAGCGTGCAATCCGTAGTAGCTTATTCTCTCTATTCCGACTATTCCGTTCTACTCGGCTTAAGGTTCGGTCCCCCCATCGATCCATCCTTTCTATCTTCAAATTCCGTATCTAATGACATTTAGACATCTCCTTTTGTTGGGAAGTAAGGTACCTCGGCTGTCCAACCTTTATATCTCTTCCTTCTCAAGCAAGATAGGCTAACGCGCGACTTATAGCACTTTGAAGCTTGTTGGGTAAGGGATCATGTCCATCCATGAGGCTGATGAGTTATGTCTGGTGGCCATACTTTGATCACTCTGTATTGGTATCCTCGACATCCCGATNTGTAGATTGTTTACTTCTGTGCCCCCAAATGGTACCTCTTCTCAGCCTCGTCAAACTTCTTCATCTTCTCGTAGTAAAGAGCATAGGTCAGGTAAAACATTGATTCCTTCACCCCAATTCGATTTGCCTCCATGGTTCTTAGAACTAATTTCAGATCATACACAAATTCCATCCACTCAAACAAAATATATCAATCTGCAACATAATTCCAGTAAATGTCCCTTAACTGCAAAGAAAATCAAGATACATTAAAGGAACAATAATGTTAAATAAGCTGTAAATCTTTATTATGGTAGTATTCAGACAAAGTCCAAAAAAAGACCTTCAACATACCAAAGCCAGTTAGTTATTTGATGCTAGCTGAGTTAATTTATTCCATTTGTTCAAAATTAATAAAAATAACATGCACTGCTAAGTTGGGATTTTTGAAAAACATAGACCTCGTTTAGTTTGCATCTTAGAAAAAGTTTCTGGAGTTGTTTTTTATTTTTATTTTTTTTAAAATTGAGAACAAAAATTGAATAGATCTAGAGAACAATTTAGAACTATTTTGTGTATTTTTTGAAATAACCTTTTAAAAATTTAGAAAACACGCCACCACATTCTCACCACTACTTCCACCATCACGACGTACACCACCACCACCACCACCACACTCTCATCACCACCACGTCCACCACAATTTGGTTTTTATTATTTTTTGGATAACTATTCAAATAAATTTTAATATTTTCTATTCTATATAACTGTTTTTGGAATTATAAAATCAAACCCATTGTGTGACATAAAAAACACAAAATATTTAAAGATTACTTTTGAGATGAGATGAGTTTTAGAAAACTATAGGGCCTGTTTGGTTTGCGTTTCAAAAAATAGTATCCGAAAATAGTTTTTGAGAAGAGTTTTAAGAAAGTGATTTTGATATTTTTTGAGGTAAAAAACTTGTTTAGTTAGATAATTTCAAAAACAATTTTAAAGTATAGAAAATAATAAAATCTGTTTGGATAATCTAAATATATGTTTAAACAGGAATAAAAAAATTAATAAAAAAAATATAAGAAAGTTATTTTTAGATTGACAATTTTATAAAAATAAAAAATAAATCAAAGTTTAAAATAAACCAAACATATTCAATAATCTTCATTAAAAATAAAGCCTTAGTTCTTAGCCTGGATCCAACTCCTCTATGCTAGTTCCTTCTCCCTCTCTTTTTCGATATGGCAAGAAGACCTAACGGAACAAAGCCTTTATAGGAGACCAGGATAGATAGTAGGTAGTTAGCCCTCTTGCTCTTAGATTACTCCTTCGTGTAGTAAGGATTCAAATCAAATGAATTACAACTAAGAGCTACAAGCAGATAAGCATAGGATAAGTAGTAACTACCTATAGAAGACTGCTTTCACTGGCCTTAGAAAACTACCAGCACAGGAAGGAAGGGAAGGGCTGTTCTGACGAGTCCTCGGCAAGAACTTATGGAGATGGAGCCCTAGAAAGTCAAGTTAAGAATTCCTAAAGAAAGACCCCTTGTGCCATCCAGCTCTCCCAACTACAAAGAGAAGACAGCCTAGCGTGCTCTAAACCTACAGTCAACTAGCTACTTGCCTCAGTTGTCTCCTGAAAGAAGCGTGCAATCCGTAGTAGCTTATTCTCTCTATTCCGACTATTCCGTTCTACTCGGCTTAAGGTTCGGTCCCCCCATCGATCCATCCTTTCTATCTTCAAATTCCGTATCTAATGACATTTAGACATCTCCTTTTGTTGGGAAGTAAGGTACCTCGGCTGTCCAACCTTTATATCTCTTCCTTCTCAAGCAAGATAGGCTAACGCGCGACTTATAGCACTTTGAAGCTTGTTGGGTAAGGGATCGTGTCCATCCATGAGGCTGATGAGTTATGTCTGGCGGCCATACTTTGATCACTCTGTATTGGTATCCTCGACATCCCGGTTTTCAGTGGGACATGGGAAGAGCATGTGCAAAGTCCCAGATCTGTTTCGGATGCCTGCCTTGAAGCACGAGGCTGAACTTGAAGAAGTGTGAATTCGCCAGTCCTTAGTATATCCAGGGTATGTTGGTTGAGGAGGACAACTAAGATCCGGAGTGGAGGCCATCATGAAGTGGCCAAGACCCAAGCCCTACAGAGGAATGAGTAAGGAAAGAACGTTGGAGTTTTGGTGGTGCCACCTGAACATTTCGAATTCTCCTGCAATTGCAACTCCTCTACGGAAGTGCACTCATCAGAATGAGGAAATGGTGTGGGGTAATGCTAAAGAAGGGTCCGCAGATGAGTTAGAGAATCATCTTTGTCATGCGGATTCTACCAGATCCCTTCCAGTTATCTTTCAAGCAATCGGAGGATCTTGAGCCAGTACAGTAAGTCTTGCTTCCTTCGGGGCTGTGGGAGCAGCGTTGTTGCAGGGAAAGCAACCTGTATGTTACCATAGTGACTTGGCTTTGGGGTGGTTTTCCGGGGCAGTCCTCAATTCTTCCACGTATGATAAGGCCCTGTACAGCCCAATTCAGTAAGGGAATAAGTGGGTGAAAACGCTACTTGAAAGCTCGGGAGATAAGCAGTGATTCATACTGATAATTAGCCATTGAAGTCTTTTCGAACGCTTCGGCAGGCCTAACGAAAGGAAAGAAAAATGAATTCCTTCCGATTGAAAGTCCATTAACTAACAACAACCGACACTTCTGGCTGAAATGTTGCTTTTTGAACAGAGACAAGAAACTTCCATCTTTTTCCGGACTACTGGGACGGGAGTCAGTACATCCTTCTCTTTGTTTGACGATTCCGCTAGAAAGCTGAACAATCCTGAGAATGATTCTAGGGAGAAGGACAGGCCCGGTCAAACCATGGATCTCCCCAAGTAGGATTCGAACCTACGACCAGTCAGTTAACAGTATACCACTATACTAATCAAATAAATGGTGGACCAATTTCCTTTTTCTTAGCCTTAGCCTTATCAAAGAAAAGAAAATCAAAGAAAAGAAAATCAAAGGGGTTCTCTCTCTCTTGATTAAGCCATTTTTACTGGCTCAAGCCCAAGGTGAGAAAGACCAGGGGTAACCACCCTTTCTAAAGCGAACGAATGGAACTAAACTACTAGCAATCTATGGGAATGATGAAATAAGAAGAAACTCCGGCGGCACTCTGCTCATGGTTTTGTTTTAAGGTAAGGAAGTTGAATGTGAACTCTTCTTGGCTGTTAGCTCAAAGGGAGTGAAGTCCGCCTATCAATCATAATAAAAGTACGCCCTCCCTCTTGTCAACTCTGAACTCATGGTCGAATGTGAACAAGGAAGAAGCAGTCTTAGCTGCAGTTACCGTTGAAGGAAGGAAGGGCTTAGAGCATAGTCCTAACTTTAAGCAGGAACCATCCAAAGCAATCCATTTCTTTCCCTGCTAAGAAGACTGGAATGGAATTAGCCCGAGTTCTGGAACCTTCTCTTGATTTAGAAATCAAAGAAGCCTTGGTGCCTAGCGAAAGCGAGTTCTTACCCTTTGCCCCGAGGGGGGGAAAATCACTCATTAGGGCGAGGGGAAGCAAGTCACAGATATCTCCTGGGGAAGGGACGAGACAAAGCTTGTCTAAGGCTGATTGAGCTCATACCAGGAAATTCCGTATTAATAGATAGAACCAGGAAAAGTCCTAATGCAGGCAAAAGGCGTAGAGGCCCTGCTCCCAAGTCCTCTTTCAGAAGCGGTGATTGCTTTTTCAGCTCTCTTTCTCGAAGTGAGTGCAAAAAAGAAATAGAACTATTCTATTACTATAGGAATAATTGTTGAATAAACGATATTTCCCGTTGACAACTATGAACTCATGGTTACTGGGAAATAAGCGATTGTTTCATAAGCAAATGTGGCACCTGCTGGTATTGTATTAGAAGTAGTTGTTCCCGTTAAAAGAACTGCCTTCAAAGCGGATTTCCTCTTGCTTCGGCGGCGGGCGGGACTCCTAATAGAATGCTATTCGGAAAAGGAGTTCTTCCGCCCCTCCCACAGCGGTAATGCCGGTAGCTCTTATTACCGGAATTGTTTTAGGGATTGGATTCTTCTTCCTTAATCTTCGAGGCGAGACATATTCATATTATCGATATGCCACTAGCTCACCGAACGTATTCAATAGAAAAAAATATACAAACACCAATATATATATACCCATCACACACACAACATATTGAGAAGTTATGGATTTAGAGGAGGAGAATTAATGTGAATGGTTCTGAGTGATATTAGTGTTCGTCAGATGAGTCTATTTGAGACTGTCAGATAGACTTATTTCAGCATATCTTATTTTATATTATAGATTATATACATAGGATGACATATGTTAATAAACTTATATTTTGTTAGCGATAATCCTTGTTGTTGTATTATTATTTTGTCAATTTTAAACTACGCATTTGAACTACTTATATATAAGACGTCATATGTTACTGATCCTTTAGAGATAATTTTTTTATTAGAGTTTTAATATATATATATATATATATAACTATCCCAACCAATCTCTCAAATGGTTTCAATGGGGATGAAGAGAGATATAAGGAATGTAGTAAAATCTTGTATGAATGTAAATTAATTAAGATCGTCGGATCAATAATACTGAATCGATCTGAGCATGAAAAGTTCAATACAAACTAAGTTAACTACTTTATTGTATAGATATATAGATATAGATATCGGTATAGATATAAACACATAGATTGATAGATATATAGGACGACATATGCTAATGAATTTATATTTTATAAGATATAATCCTTATTATTAGAGTTTTAATAGATATTAGATATATTATGTTTTTATTATATTTATATATATGAGGAGAGATAAAAAAAATGTACTAGAGTGCTATAGGAATGTAGATTAATTGGGATCGTCGGATTAATAATACTGAATCGATATAAATTGCGAAAAGCTCGAGACAATCCAAATTAGCTAATTTATTATATTGATATCAACGATTAGCTAATTTATTATATTGATATCAACGACAAAATGTTATGTGTTATACGTGCACACAAGTCAGAATATATAGGAGTAATATTTTAAATGTGAGGGGTCTTAATAATTAAGTGTCATAAATTTTTATCTTTGAAGGTATAAATTAAAATTTTAATTTTTGAGAGTAAAAATTGAGATTCGATGCAATTTGTAATTAACTCAATTAAAAAATGGGAAAATAAGGGGGAGAAGGAGGGGGGGGGAGGGGGAGAGGGTGAAATTACTGTTTTTTCTTTTGTTTTAGAGAATCGGATATGAATTAAAAAGGTGGGAAAATAAGATGGACATCAAAGTGAGAAATATTTAAAATTTTTACTAGATGTGGCTCTGTCCCATGCATAGTTTTTGTAATTTATTTTCACTTTCACCCTTGCGTCACTCTCATTCGAACATTGTTGAAAAATTATCTATTAATTTTATAATTATTTTTATGTTAATTAATTTGGGAATGATTAATAAAAATGATGGGATGACATAATTAATTTTTAAAAATTTTTAACTTAAAGTGAGAGAAGGGAAAATAACAAACGTTATTTATCAATTGACTATGAGTAAACCTGATGCAATGTGAATAGTTTTGAGAGAAAGATGTTAATGGCTATTGGATTAATCTATTTGATATCGTCGGATAAATTTATTAAAGTTTACCCTTTTTTATATTATAGATTGTGACAAATTTGATAAAATCACAATGTAATGTATCTAAATTAAATCCAAAGATTTAATGGTTATGAAGATAAGTCGGATGAAAAGAATAGATTTAAGCTTCCTTGCTATATATTCAGATATTCTTACGTGTGTTAACAAAATTTAATTTAAAATAAGTAAAAGTAAATAATAATTATAATAAAAAAGAAAAAAAATACAAAAAAGGAACATACTTATGGAAAAAATATTTAATGCAACCATTATAGTTACACTATTCAACCAATGTCAGGTGGCGTAATTATCCACTAATAAATAAACAAATTAATAAATGCGTAACACCCAAACTCTTAATTATCAATCATGTCATACATAATCATTTCTATGATAAAGTGGGCTCGATTTTACTAATTTTTTTTTATTGGATGGTTGTATGTCAATAATACTGACATGATATAATAATTATACTCGATATTTACTCACATATATGGTATAATGATTACACCCGACACTTACTTTTGTGTAAGAGCTATGTGGTTATTTATAATTGTTTGAGTAAACTATACATATAACTTTTAAACTATAATTCTTGCATCAATTAAGTTCTTAATTTTTTTTTATATCAATTCCTCGTGGGCTTTCTAGTTTTATCAATTAATTATTTTTAATGGAAAGTGACAGTGATATAAATGGTTGGATTAAATTATACATATAACTTTTAAACTATAACTTTTATATTAATTAAACCATTAAAATTTTTTTTATCTATTAATTGAGCTTTTCTATCTTTTTTGTGTCGTATAGTCATGCGAATAACACACTTTAATGGTGGCAGATAAAAAAGCTCAATGGACACAATTAGAGAGTTTAATATTTTAATTGATTAAAAAAAAAGAAGAATTATATTTAAATCTCATGAAGTTTGTCACTTAATCAATAAAACTAGGGGTACAACTTGGGTTGAGCAACCTAATTTCAACCCGAGCCCAATTCAAAAAAATTAGGACTTGAGTAAGAATTTTTAATACTTGAGTTGGACTTGGGCCAAAAAACTCCAATCCAAATTCAATTTGGGTTGGGCTAGGATTAAAGTCTCGGGTTCATGGGTTCAATCCAAACCTGACACATTAAAAAAAAAATTATATATAATTTTCATTTTTGTTCTAGCATTAGCACAGTTAAAAACTTGGTTAAAATTATTGGTTGTTAATTTAGGTAAATATTATGTAATATATGTACTAGGTTTAGAACAACAAACATATTTTGAGGTTTACCCGAACTCAACCCGAATTGACGTAAAGTAACCCTAAATCTGTTTGAAAATCATTAACTTGAATTCAGCTCGAGCCTGTCTGAATTAAACTCGGGCAGTGCTTATATTGAATTTCTCAACCCGAGGTACAATTAGGGTTAGGGTTAGGGTTAGGATTAGTGTTGAAGATTATATACCTGGAGTTGAGTTAGGGTTGACTGTCTAACCCGTCCAACCCACCCGAGTTACACTCTTAAATAAAATCCCTTGATATTTAAAATGTGATACACATATCGTATAAGTTTTTTAAGCACGTAACACTTAGATTTGTCGTCAATGTCCGTTAGGATATTTGAATGTAATTTTTTATCGGATAGATTGTTGGCAAGTGTTTAAGGGTATAAATTTTAGGGGTTTATATATAATATTTTAAATATTAAAGATTTGAGTAATTAAATAATAAATTTTAAGATGTTGAGTGTAATTTTCTCATTAAAATAGAATAAAATAAAAGTGTTTAATCGCACAAAGAAGGAGTGTAGTTTACTCCATTGTTTATGATACCTATCCGTAGTACTGAATCACACCGCCCCACCGTCTCTCTCTCTGTATAGAGATACTATATATCAATGACTCTCTCAGACGAAGAACGGACAATGGAGAAAACAGAGAAGCCGCTCACAGACATCCCAGTAGTCGAAGACGAAGAACCCTCGAATGGAGACGACGAGGAAGAAGGCGAGGAAGAGCATGAGGAAGAAGAAGAAGCAGAGACCGAAGAGTCTCGAATGCGCTCTGACCGATCGAAAATGGAGAACCTGTTCCGCCGAATCTCAACAGAGCGAGTCCCTCTCAGAGTCCACGACGTTATAATCAAAGGCAATACGAAGACTAAGGACTCATTGATCGAAGCCGAAGTGGAAGCGCTTAAGAGTGCTAGTACAGTACAAGAGTTACTTCAGGCTGCGAGTATTGCGAATGCGAGGCTTCAACGGCTTGAGATTTTTGATTCGGTTAATATTACGATTGATGCGGGGCCGTCGGAATTGCCTGGGACTGCTAACGTGATTGTGGAGGTTGTGGAGAGTAAAAACCCTCTTACTGGTGAGATTGGAATGTTCACTAAGCCTGAGGTAATAATTCAATATCTATGTGTGTGTGTGTATTTATCAATTCATGGATAGTTATCGTTTTGAATTTTTCTGTGTATCGGGTTGAAGTAGAAACTCATTCTCTTTGGATGATTTAATTGATGATTTTTTGTGTTTTTATTGTGCGGTTGGACTAAGGATGGTTGTTTCAGTGATGATTCTTGTGTTTTATGAGAATTTGGTTGTGTAAGTTTGGTTGAAGTTGTTTGAAAGAGGGTTGGACGCAATAAGGTTGTTGGTATGACAATTAGGGGTTTGGAATTGTAGGAGATCATCAGAACACTGCATTTTAGAGTCAATGTTAAAAAAGTTGATAATACTACAATTTATAGACTGGTTCAGAACTTTAGAATCATGTACGTTATCATCTTTCAATGCAATAAGTTCTATCAATGAATTCTGGGAATGGACACCACTATTGTGAACGAATTTTTAGCATAATTGGCAATTTTAAATTCTTATCTTAGATAATTGGTGGTGTGGCCGACTTGTGTGCACCAAGTAAGGAATTGGGATCAATCACTTTGATTTTATAGATTACTCTACCTTCCCTATCCTAGAGTTTTATATGAACAATGTTAAGTTGGAAAATAATAATCCTTTAATGGCCAAAGTATTTGGCACAAATATCTACATTAGGGACCTTTACTTACTGAAATATTTTGTGGAAGTTGGTTGATGTATTGGGTGTAAATTTTGCACATGGAAGTGGTGATGGTTGAAAATCTGAAGTATGAGATCTGAAGAAATGTATCTTTTAAGTTCCATTTTAAAGAAAAAGGTGGCTTGTTCTGTTCAAATTTTGTTGGGTTGGCTTGGTGAGTTGCAGTCGTGTGTAGTGACATTAATTTTTAGGTTTGATATCCATCTTGATGATGATATTCAATTCATCTCTATGAACCTACATATTCATAGTGGGGTGACCAATATTTTTAGATTTCCTATTTTTCTGTTATGGTGCTCTATGACAAAGTTGGGTATTGGCAGTCCTATCCTAGTACTATGTTTCCTCTTTCTGTGATACATACATATATATGTGTGTGGAGCATAAAATTCCACATTAAAATCATGTATCACCCATACGATTGTGACATCGGGGTACTAAGTTAAGGTTGCCAAAGTCAAAAAGTTCTGGGTGGCTAAACTAGGCTTTTCATGTATATAAAGTTGAGGATGGTCAAAATTAGGAAACTCTGGTTAAATTAGAAGTCGATACCTGAAAGTGGTGACGAAGACGAAGGGTCCTCATGTTGCAGTACTTAGAAACATCATAGACTTCATACATTTATAAATATCAGCATGCCGAATCAAGGATGAACCGAACGAAGTTAGATTATGCCTTGAGTCCCAATCTTCTATTAAATTTGCTATGCACAAAATCAAGGCTCTGACATGTGATAGATATTGCTCGTGCAGTTTTGCTACTTTTCTGAAGAAGTGATTGCATTGTTGGTATAATATGATGGTAAAACAGAGGCAGTAACCTAATGCCAGTTACATTGTGATTAGCTTGTGATGAGTATGGTCACAAGATAATAGTTGTTCTTGGATATTATAGGAATAGTACGATGCTATATTTTTTAACATGAGCAGAGATCACTTTGCAATGGACTTAATTATATTTTATCACGAAGTTACTGCATCATTTAACTGCCTTGTGAAGTCTACTATAAAAACAAGTACCTTGTGAATTCACCTTTTACCCTCTCCATCATTCCCAATAAAAAAAATAGAGAAAGAGAAAGAAGGTGCTGGGGTTGGGGGCTCGTCCATTTGTGTTTTGATGATCCTATGGATTCTTTTCACCTTGTTGAGAGTGGAGGTTTTCTTATCCTTGGCCTTTTAGATTAGCTTTCCCCTGGATTTTATTTGTGATTTAATCTTTTATTAGTTTTGTAGTATACTGTAAATGAGATGATATTTTAGAATCCTACAAAACTGTGGCCGTAATGCAAAGCCACAATTTGAAACTTTTATGTGTATTACCTGTTTTGTGTTTTTTGAGTATGTTAGTGATCTGTTTGAAGATTGAAATTCATGGATGTAAAGAAATCCTTTTGTTGCATTTCCGTAATTTCCATATCTGAAAAGAAATTGCAAGAATTTGTAAACCTTTGTTTATTGAAGCTCAACCACCTAGGTGCCAACTTGATACCTTCTTTGTACTGAACTGCACACTCCAGTGCTTGCGACACTCCGTACAGTCAAAAATAAGTACACACACATGTTCTTCTTATGCTTGTTTATTTGGATAGTCCCAGAAATAAGCTAAAATCAATTTATGGAATCCACCAACTCTGTTTGTAGCATAGTGTAGAGTATTGTCAGTCATTAGAAGGGAGGTGCGGGGTTAGGGATTCAATTACTATCGCCAGCCATCATAACAACTCAATAAAATAAAGGATCCTAATGTGTGTATTGGCTTCATTTCCAGGCTGCCCAAGTCGATGTGTAAGTCGAAAATGCTCTTTGATTCTCATTTGCAATATGAAATTTGCTTCTTATGCTTGTATATCTGGAGAGTCCTGGAAATAAGCTAAAATCAGTTTATGTGATCCACTAAGTCTGTTGTACCATAGTGGTATTAGAGTGTTGGCATTTATTGAAAGGGATAGGTGGAATTAGGGATTCAATTGTTATTGCCAGCCATCATAACAAGTAAATAAAATATGGAACCTAATTTATACATTGGCTTCACTTTCAGGCACTTCAAGTTGCTGTTCTGTTCAAATGTGCTTTTGATTCCCATTGGCAATGTGTAATTGTGTATGGATATATAAGCACTTTCCCTTTCATATTGCTTTTGAGATTGTATATTGCTTCTGTAGGCTAGATCTTGGTCACTTGAAGGATCGCTCAAGCTGAAAAACTTGTTTGGATATGGGGATATCTGGGATGGTTCTTTGGCTTACGGCTGGGATCAAACATCAGAGGTTAGTGTTGGTGTGTCTTTACCCAGATTTAAAGGATTGGTTACTCCTTTGACGGCTCGAGTGTATCTGCTTTCTCAAGATTGGCTGAAGTTTTCTTCTTACAAAGAACAATCACTGGGACTGTCTCTGGGCACGATATTATCCAAGAACCATGATTTGGCATACAATCTATCTTGGCGTACCTTGGCAGATCCCTCACAAATGGCATCAAGATCAGTAAGGAAGCAGCATGGACATGGCCTGCTCTCATCTTTGAAGTACACCTTTAAGATTGACGAGCGAAATAATCCTCTAAGACCAACTCGAGGATATGCTTTTGTTTCCACTTCTCAAATTGGTGGTCTTTTTCCTGATTATCGGAGCTTACGTTTTTTCCGCCAGGTTTAGTTCACTTCAGTGCCTGTTCTTTGGTTTTCTTCTGTACTACTTGAATTATGTTCTTCCAAGCTGTTTGTTTTTCTCCAGCTTCATTTTGGTTTCATCAACTTATTTGTTCTAAGGTTGAAACAGGAATGTGTTATGGCATTGTTGTTTGTCATGAGAAATAATTCTGGATAGACTTCCTATTCTAAAAAAATTGCTTATATAAATTGTGTTCTCTCTGACTATGGCCATGGTTATCTCAGCTCTGTACTATTGATTCTTAAGATCTATTACTTGGTGATTTAATGTTCCTGTTGCAAAATCTGTGATTTGTCTCATATGCTTTGTCTAAGTCAAACGTTCTTTCTTTGTATACATATTGGTAAGTCAGTTGTATTTATCTTGGTTCTTGGTCTTGTTGATGATATTGCTCTGTGTGAAACTATTTTTAGTCTTTGGGACTCCTGGCCATTGATAGGAGTTGAACCTGAGGAACACCTGCCTCCTCCAAATAAAAAGAAAAACAAATAAAAATGAAAGGATCTTATTCAATGTTGCATGCTCTGCTAAGATGATGTTTAACGTTACTTTATGACATTTCTGCTCTCCTTCCATGTACCTGCTGTTCTTCTCTTTTTCGTTTTTTTGGGCAATATTTACTCTGGATCAACTTACTGAAGAAAGAACATATGCTCTGAATTCTGGCAACAGGAGGTGGATCTTCGTTATGCTCTCCCCTTGGGTTTTTATAATTCTGCACTGAATGTTGGGGTCTCTGGTGGTGTTCTTTTTCCATGGGGAAGTGGATTTTTGAACAAATCCTCATCCATAGCTGAGAGATTTTTCTTGGGTGGTAATTCTTCTCCAGTCTGCACCTTGGGAGGACCAACATCGGTGTTGGGTTTTAAGACAAGGGGACTGGGCCCTACTGAGCCTCGAAGGGAAGTTAGATTAGACTCAAATAATGAAAATTCTGACAGTTCTGGAAGGGATTTTCTTGGAGGAGACCTTGCTGTTACTGCCTTTGCAGACCTTTCTTTTGACCTCCCATTGAGGGTATTCAGAGAAGCTGGCATTCACGGGCATGCTTTTGCATGTGCTGGGAACCTTACCAAGTTGACAGAGAATGCATTCCGAAATGTCTCTTTCCAGAAATTCCTGGATTCGTTTCGAACTTCTGCTGGATTTGGGATCATTGTACCCACCAAACTATTCCGCATGGAGGTTAGTTCTCTATCCTAAGATCTTTATATCGAAGTCCTTTTGGATGACTGCTTTAGTTTGGATTTGGATGGTAGGATTTGAAAGAAAAAATGGAATTGTTGACTGTACACATACGTGCCGTTCAGGACATCTTCTCGCCTTTTTCTAGCCTTCCCTGGAATTTTCTGGTTGTAATACTGATGCTAATTACCTTAGGCTATGCTTGGAAGTGACTTTATGGAAGGATTTATTTGGATAAAGTATTTAGTTGTCTGTTCTTTAAAAAAGGGAATTAGCTGGTTACAATGATTATGCTACAGCTTCAAATTCTGAAATGGTTAAGATATGTGTGTCGGTTTTGACTGAAAATATGTAGCATCTGTCAAACTGAAACTTTAAGAATTATTAGAATCTAGCAGAAATTTTACTTAGGTCAGTGATTACAAAACAAAAGGACAAAGGTTAAAAAAAATGGAATGTTCAATTAGAAGCTAGTCTATCTTGATGTTACTTGCAAACAATTTGTGTTAGCAAAATTTATGGTATGATTGTTTTGTGCAATATTCTGTAATATACTGTTTAGATGATTCATAGCTCACTTTTCTTGGAAAGGGTCAATATGTTGCAAGTGAAGTTCCTAGTTGGGTGAAATATGATACTAATGTGATGAAATATATGCCCCTTCTTGGCTACTGCATTTGACTAAGTTCCTTAAAAGGGATATTTTTTCGTGATTTTCATGTGTCACCCCACCCCACCCCATAAATAAAAAAAATGAGACACACCTCTTTGAACCTCTCTGATGGTTTGTTTTCAATATCAGGTTAATTATTGCTACATACTGAAACAACATGAGCATGATCGTGGGAAGACTGGGGTGCAGTTTAGCTTTTCTTCACCATTATAAATCTGGAACTTTTTTTATTTTCATGTGATGTCCAGCAACATCAAGTTGATAGTGAAAGCCTTTCACACTAGGTACATTTCAGATTTTTTTGGCTCAAGCATCTCAATTTAGACGGCTAAGGTTTTTGTTGCAGATTTTTGATGGCTTAAGCATCTCATGTGATGTCCAGATTTTTTATGCACCAATACGGTGAATAAGATGTTAGCAAAGTTATCAGTGCAGTTATGATCAGCCTTTGAGACAGATTGTTTGAAGAAATGTTGTAATTCTCTTAACGTCCAAAGAGTTTCAAAGGATTTGTCTCTATCTCATTCCTTGATTTAAGCTTGTGTACATTTCTTGAAGTTTTGTTGGTGCTACATGTCAATTTTGGTTCGAAAATTGGGTTTTTAGCTAAATGTGGGAACAGACCCTCAGATGCAGCGAAAGGGTGGGAGCTGTTCTCCAGGACTTTTCCTGTATCTGGCTCAGGTCAAATATCCATAATAGGAAGAAAATGGTCGTATGCCATTTTTCTTTCTCTGAATTGGGAGTTTCCTGTTGTGTTTAGGATGAAAATTGATTGGTCTGCCCTGCCCTAAACCAGTTCGTATATATATGAGATATGTTGATGATATATTTTGGTGGTAATGGATATGAAAAGTGAAAGCTGGTGGAGTGAGCTTTGGTGTGGACAAAGGGCTGTTTCAGCCATTTACAAAGCTATTTCTTCGTAATTTCAAGGCAGAAGGTCTCATTCGGCTGGGTTCTCTGGATTTGGGATGTACTACATATGACAAATTTGATCAACACAACCGCTCGATGAGAATTGAGATATTAGAATTCATACACTACCATGCGTTGGATGAGGCCTTGAAGTTTACCGTGAAGCTTATGAAACGTGCTTGGGTAATTGTTTATTTATTTATTTTTGTTACAGGGTGTCCAAATTTGTGCCGATTATTTTCTTGAGTTCAGCGGTTGGCTAACGTGCCTTGAGTTGATTAGGGTATATCCTTAAAAAGACAAAGTAGCTAACTCGGGAGGTGTGTGAAGGAATCGAACTTGAAATTTCTGAGTTATCATAAATTAGATTTAATTATTGTACTACCCCTAAGAGATATGTGCTGGGGCAATTAATTCCTCAATTATTTGGACTAAATTTTATCATCTAAAATTTGCTACAAATTTAGAGGGTCCAAACTCACCAAAGAAAGCTTGTCTCCATATGCATTAAGCTATGTATTGTTGTCCTAGGCAAAGCTTGTCAACTATTCCAATAACTCAACAGATTGTGCCATCCTGTATCATTCAAATTTTTGGTCAACCGACCCGCAACCTCTTCCTCACCTCAGCCCATCATGGCACATGCTTGCACTCGAACTATAAAAAAGTTTCAAGGACGAAGGAGATGATAAATCAAAAATATTGGATACAAATGGATAATAAAACTAAACCATACTATTCCAAATTCTATTGTTGTGTAAATAAACAATTATATTTTTTTTTTTTAATTTGAGACATGTCATTAAATTAAGGGCTAATTATACAAAAGTTGCATGTCACCCCTCAAGTTTTACTAGTTTTAATTAATTCCTTTTAACTTGTGAATAAACTAAAAACCTAATAGAATTTATTTGTTATTACGATAGATTTATTGCACGTGCTAATTAAGCACTTGTGCTATGAAATAATTAATTTTTTTAAAATAAAAAGTCAAATTATCAATTTTACCTTTGATGCAAATTTTATCCAACTGTGCAATTATTGACTAACAAAGAAAATTCATTGGGCAAAATAAAGCCCATAAATTTCTACCGGCCTCTTCTCTCTCTCTATCTCCACCGGCTCCATCCCCCACCATAGCTTCAACACCCCACGCCATCCCATCCTCCTCTTCCCCCACCACACCCCAACCCACAACTCGCCCACCCAACCCTGCTCAACTCCCCCTTCCCAACCATCCCATTCCACTGCGTTTTCCACTTCATTCACAAGTAGATAGGGGATTTAATTATTGAAGGAGATAATGTGGAACTGACTTTAAGTTGAGAGGTCTTTGTGTAATTAGCCCTTAAATTGGTAAATAAACTTCATTTCGAGACTCGCCATTAATCAATCAAAGGACCACAAGTTGTCACGTTAGGTCCCAAAAAAAAAAAACAAAACCAGATATGTTGAAGGATCACGGCATGTAAAGTTGGAGCAATCCTCTCAGCATCCTTCGAGAGAAGCTTATAAGTTTTTATTTGTTTTTTT